ATTTTATTTTTGGCTGAGTGAAGAACCTGAGAAGAATTTTGAAACATTATCTAGTGAGAGTGAGTACAAAAAAAGCTTCAAGATGCCTCCTTATTTTTCTAAAGAAGATTTCTACCAGCTTCTCCAGAAAGTGACAGTCTTGGAGTTCAAGATTCATCGTCTGGAAGAGGTGAATGCGTTGGAAGACTCCACAGGTGTTAAAATGGATGAGAAGGCTGACATGGGAGATCAATATGAAGAGGAAATGGAAGCTGCTTATGAGAGTGAAGCAGTAAGGAACTCTGTGTGTGCCAGACCAAAAAATCTCTCAGGAAGGATTCAAATCTCAGAGGACAACGTATGGCCAGAATTACAGAGAAATGATTTTTCTCCTCCAGCAAGAAGAAAGAAGCGAAAGGCTTTAATTAAAACAGCTGATAATARMCAGAGAAATGAAGCAGTGTTTCTTCAAAACAGATTCACACCACTGGAAGAAACTGAGTCTGAACAAAGTTCACTATCTGATTTCAGTGAGGGATCTGAGACCAGATCCAGATCCAGTTCAAAGTCAACGCAAGTTCGAAGAGAGACATTTAAAAATCAGGAAATGATGATTATTACAGATAAAATGGTGAATGAAATCAGAGGATTCTGGAACAAGAAAAAAGTCAAAGTTCTGAGTTCTGCTGATAAAGTGTCTGACCTTGCAGAGAAGATTCTAGAGATAACAGCAGAGTATCCATCTCTGAAGAAACTCATCATTCATACAGGAAGTGATGAAGTTATGAACCGACAGTCAGAAATCATGAAGAAGGATTTTATTCAGCTGCTGAATGCAGTTAAAAATCTCAACATGGAAGTTTTCATCAGTGGACCGGTTCCAACAGTCAAAGGTGGAGCGGAGAGGTTCAGTAGACTTTTAGCTCTTAATGGGTTCTTGGAAAAATCCTGTGCTGACCATTCTGTGAGATATGTGGACAATTTTGATCTCTTCTGGGAAAGAAAACATCTATTCAGGTCGGATGGAATGACTCTGAATCAAGCTGGAGCACAGCTACTGGTTTCAAATATGAAGTATTTCCTAAATAAAGTTCTGGCTACAGAAAAACCACAACAGCTAACGTCTGAAGGACAGCTGGAGAAAACTGAGACATCAGTGGAACACAGAATGCCAGTTACTGATAAGGAGACTGCTTCAGAATCAGAACCAGAACAAGAATCAGAACCAGAAACAGAGGAACAATTGGGTTCATCAGCATCAGAAACAGAGGATCTCTTGGACTCTGAGACCCCAACAGGACAACAAGTGGAGTGTCCTCTACTGGATTCTGCTAACAACATGAAAGAACCTGATGAGATTAACATCAAACAAGCACCATGTCCAGATCCAGTTAACTTTCATCTTCCAGCAGCTCGCACTAAACC